GCGCCAGCAGAGCCCGGCGCGCTCCTCACACGGAGCCACAGCACTGCCTACCGCTTAACTCCTTGCATGCCACCTGGCCCTCCCGCCGCCTCCCGGGTGGCTGGGCAGAGCCAGGGCCAGGCCTGCTGGGGAGCTCTGGCAAGGGCCGCCTCCTCCAAGCCTCAGTTTTACTCTTCTGGAAAATGGGCTGCGGAGACCCATGTCCTAGGGTCGTTTGGAACATTCACCGCGACTATTGTGCCAAATACCAAGATGCCTGGCACTGAGTAAGCACTCAATACAGGCAGAGTCTTCACTGCTGCTGCTGTTGCTGTTCAAGAGGCTTAACTGGGTGACTCACAAATAGTAAACATCCCGATAAAGGGCAGTTTGGTTTCTGGTGTTTTGTTTGTTGTTTTAACAGGCAGTAGGTTTAAGCTGTGTGGCCTCTGGCTGGTCACTTACCCTCTCTGAGCCGGTTTCAGAGGACCCCTTCCGGGCTCTGTGACTTTGGGTATGTTTCAGCATCCCCTCTAGACCTCTGTCTCTTCATCTGTAAAGTGGGAACAATAAATAATGATAGACACGCCCACCTGCAAAGGACCCACAGCAAATCTCTGGGGAAGGGGCCTGTGACAAGATCCACCACTGACTGACAGCCTCCTCAGTGCCACACACTGAGTTATGTAGTTTTAAACACTTGATCTTATTACGTCATCTTAACAACCCAGGGGGAAGTTCCATTTCTCAGATGGGAGAACTGAGGCCCAGAGAGGTTAAGAGGCTCACCCATCGGTTGGCACAGCTAGAAAGTAGCAGAGCTGGGATTTGAACCCTGGGCTTTCTGACTCCAAACCAGTCCCTGTTAAGCTTGGGCTCAAGGAGAGGTTCTAAGGTGGCCATGGGCAGACTAGTCTTTGTTGGGACTAGCCACAAGAATCGGTATCTGCACTTATTTTATTAAAGCACATTGTTTTCCCAACTAATTCTCTACTGAAAGATCATTCAGAAAATGCTGAAAAGTATGAAGGAAAACTAGCGAAGCCAATTCCCACCACCCAGAGATAATGGTTATTAACATCTTCATGTATTTCCTCCCAGTGTTTTTTTTTTTTTACACCTCCATGTAAAAGCTGTTGACACAAAGAGAATCTCCCTAATCCCCCATAGGAATGGGAGTTGGGCTCCCCACGAAGTAAAAGAGCCCCAGGATTGCAATGAAGCAGATGAGACTCAGCTGCTAGGCAAGGTCCTTGGGCTGGTCACTTGTGCCTTCGAGCCTATGCTTCATCATCTATGAAAGGATGAATAATGTCTTCCCTGCCTGCTTGATAGGGCTGTTGGGAAAATGACAGATTAGAAAACACCTTGAGAGTGGCAAAAGCTGTAAAAAAAACATAATGGTGATGTTATAATCATCACTCTCATCATCATAAAAACATGAAAGATCAGAGCATTGCGGCATCGTGTCGTGGTTTGTTCTTCCCACCGTATGGATGTCCAATGGACCCATCACAATTTACTGAAAGAACTATCTTTCCCCCACTGCTCTCATAAAGCATACGCCCCCGTGTGTGGAGGGGCCAGGTCAGGGCTCTCCATTCAGTTCCATTGGTCAAACTGGTTATCTTTGTGCTATCTATTTGGTTATCTTTATCATATGGTCTCAATTGCTACAGTTTTATAATAGTCTTGATATCAATTAAACGTATTCTTTCTCTTTCCCCCTGGAAAATTATTCTTGGCCTTTTGTATTAGCATATACATTGTAGCATATACAGTGTAGCATATACAATTGATCAAGTCCTTTATTCAACAACAACAAAAGACCTATTAGGTTTGGATTGGGATGGTACAGAGTCTACAGGTCAATTTGAGGACACTTGCCATCTTTCTAATATTGAGTTTTTCCATCCCCCTACCTCACACCATACACACAAATTGACCTTGGTTGGGTTGCATATCCATAAAGAAAAACACTGATATATTTCATTACATTAAAATCAGAAGAACCTCTCTTTATTAAAAGACACCATTAAAAAGAGAGTGAAGTCAAACCATAGAAAACAGATGCAGTGTTTTCAACACATATAACAAAATAGGGGCTCCAGTCCAGAATTCTCTCTCACATCATTGTTTCTCTCTCCCATTTTCCCTTCCTCCCTATCCTTAGGTGAGGATTAAAAAGAAAAATTCTGGTAAAAGAAGGGATTTATTACGGTACATAAATGTAGTAAAAAGCATTCTGCAGCAGATTTTAATGGCAGGAAAGTGAAAGAATCTAAATGTCCATCAACAATGGAATAGATGGATCAATTCGAATATATCCTTAAAGGGGAACACTAGGCAGCAGTGAAAATTAATGAACTAGAACTCTATCATGGTGGAGAAAGCTCAAAATTATAGTGTTGAGTCGGGGAAAATAGTTAGCAGCGAAAAGGACATACACAGAACAGTACCACTGAATAAAATTCAAAAACAGGAAAAACAACTCAGTATATTTTTATGAGTACATACATGTATGGTAAAAATATAGAAACATATGTGAGAATGATGAACACCAAATTCAAGAGAGAGGTTACCACTTCTGGGGGAGGGGTCGGAGCAGAGAGGAGTCCAGAGAATTCTAACTTGTGTTTTAAATGTTTCATCTCTAAGACAATTTGGTGGATACGTAGAAGTTATGTTCTCTGCATTTTTTTGTATGCCTGAAATAAAGGAAAAAAACAACTGAGGCAGCAGTTGAGAGTGAAGGCTAGAGTGGCACTGGCCTTATTCCTACCCCTGTTCTGACATTTGCTGGGTGTCTTTAGTAAGGGATTTAACCTCTCTGGGCTCCAGTTTTCTCATCATTACAATGGGGCTAATAAATCTTGGAAGAATGAAATGAAACAATTTGCATAAATTATTTAAAGCAATGTAATCACTCAATGAACGATAGCTATTCTTCTCATAATTAATCATTGACAGCAGTCAATTTCAAATTATTTGAGAACTGGAAACATCTAAAAAGATCCCCCATTTCTAACCTTCTTTACAGATGAAACCCCTGAGGCTGGAGAGGTTGAATAAATGGTGTGAGGTCATGTTGTGGGTAAAGGCAGAATCGAAGATCTGAGGTGTGGAGGGACCCCAGTGGGGAAGGCTGCGCCTCTGCTGCGGAGCTCTTCCCACAAAACCTACTTCCAGGGGCCAATGATGGTCATATGGGGAACATGCTAAGGTTGAGACACAGATCCCAGAGGCAGCCGGGCACCCCTAATGTGGTTGCGCCCTTTATATCCCAACCCTAAAGTATATTTATATCATCACGAAAGAGATCGAGAATAATAAGCCCACCCATTTCTAATTTATATGTTTAAAGTAAAAAGCCTGACGCCTAACACAAACATGCCGCTGTGATCACAAAAACACGCGTGGTGGGTAGAATGCACTATTTGTAATAGCCCCAAACTGGGGACAATTCAAATGTCCATCAATGGAAGAATGGATGGTGTTGGATTCAACAGAATACTACCCAGCAATGGGAACGAAAGAACTACTGCCTCTTGGGTAAATGTCACAAACATAATGTGAACAAAAGAAGCCAGCCCTAAAGATGTTGTCTGCTGCCACTTATAAAAAGTTCCATAACTTCGAAACTAACCAGGCTGCTAGAAGTCAGCACCGTGGTTATGCCTTGGGGCGGGGCGGGGGGGGGGGGTTCTTGCTAGAAGGGCCTTGGGGCTAATAATGTTCCTTTCGTAGACCTGGATGCTGGGGACTTGGGTGTTCTCTGTGAAAATGCATGAGCTGACACTTCTTATTTGTACTCTCAGGGACATGTATTGCACTTCAATTAAAATGTTTTAATGTGAAAATTAGCCAGCTCCAGTCATTTTAACCTTTACTAGTTACCGATGCCTATGGACCGTCATGAATCAAGCCATGTAAGAAAGCGGGTGAATGTAGGCCTCTAAATCAGCATCCTCTCCTAAGCCTTGACCTTGAACATACCTGCTGAAACCAGCTTTCATTTCAGGCTCACTGAAAGGGGGATTGTCCGCCCAGGACCCGGCCAGATGCAGATAAGGGCCATTACTCAGGACATCTGATCCAGAGAGGCGGGCAAACCATCCGACTTATCTGATTTGGCAGTTGCCCAGGATCAAATGACCCAGATAATGGTCAGTCTGCCATGGTGACACCACACATCCCCGCCAAAACACCCAGGAGGTGGACCCTTTCCCCGGGGCCATATTTGTGGGCAGAGAGGAGAGAGGCTCATGCCAGCCTCGTCCGGTCTAATTTCTGCAAGAGGAGCTGGAGGAGCTCATTCAGAGTCTGCAGAGGCCACTGAAAAGTAAGACATCTCCAGGCAGGCTCCTCCTGGTTCTGCACTAAGGCTCTCTCTCCCATGGCCTCCGAAGGACACAGCTGAGCCATTAAACATGCATTTCTTTTATTTTTATTGATTTCAGAGAGGAAGGGAGAGGGAGAGAGAGAGATAGAAACATCAATGAGAATCATTGATCGACTGCCTCCTGCACGCCCCCTACTGGGGATCGAGCCCGCAACCTGAGCATGTGCCCTGACCAGGAATCGAACTGTGACCTCCTGGTTCATAGGTTTACGCTAACCCCTGAGCCACGCCAGCCAGGCAAGCATGCATCTCTTTTAATCTGACAATTCTAGGAAGGAGGTAATATCCTTATTATTGTTATTCCCATGTTGCAGGGGATAAAACTGAGACACAGAAGGGTTAAATGAGTCATGCAAGTGTGAACACCAGAGAGGAGCAGACTCTGCCCGGCTGGAGTGGCTCAGTGGTTGAGCATCGACCCAGGAACCAAGAGGTCACCAGTTCGATTCCCGGTCAGGACACATGCCCAGGTTGCAGGTTTGATCCCCAGTAGGGGGTATGTGGGAAGCAGCCAATGGATGATGTTTCTCTCTCATGGATGTTTCTATCTCTCTGTCCCTCTCCCTTCCTCTCTCTCTAAAAACCAATAAAAACGTATTTTTAAAATAAAGACAGAAAGAAGCAGACTCATTTACTTTTGAACTTATTCTCTTTCTATCATGCCCTCTCCCACCATCCCATCCTCCAGGAACACTGTTCCCATCTGAGACCCCAGCTACTCACCCATCGTGACTCCCAGCAACCCTCATCTCCACGGCATGCCCAATGAGTTCGGGGCCTCTGCAAAGCAGGCACCGAGATGGAATTAGAAGTGCATGGACTCACTGGAGGAAACCCCTGTGGAGGTTAAGGAGAGAGGGAGCAGGATTGAGTAGGCAGAGCCTTCAGACTGGGGTGCGGGCCTAACGCCTGGGAAAGGAGAAAGAGAAGGAAGAAGACTGGGCAGGAAGAGCCTCAGGCTACAGCAGAGTTCTGAGAAAGACCAGTCCCGCAGGGGCCCCAGAGTAGAGACTGTCCATTGGTGGAGTCCCAGCTTGGACAGGGATGGCTCAGGCTGCTAATCTTTAGGAGGTCATGGATCGGTCAGCATGGATCAGTCAGAAGGCAGAGTGAGCATCAGTTGATTTGGTACATTGGTTGTGAGCAGGGGAGCAGGGCCTCTTAAGAGCAGCCATTAGAACTATTATCGCATGGTTATCTTCCCCTCTGGACTGCAAGCTGCACAAGGGCAGGAATCAGCCCGTGCAGACAGCAGGTCTGGAATGGAGTGGATGCTCAACCATATTGGTGGTCTGACAAACTCCCCTGGCCAAGCCCCTCAGAGTTCACTGACTGCCATACATTTCCTGAGGCTGTTCCCTGCAGTGTATTTTAGCAACAAGGAGGGGGTGGGGGTGGGGATTAGCTCTTCTGATCTGTGTGACCTTAGGCAAGTCATCTCACCTCTGTGAGCTTTTGCTAACTCATCTGTAGAATAGGGACAATAACTACCCATTAGATACTATGTCTGTTTTAAAGACCAAGTGAGATATGCTATCACAGTACTTTATCATTATTACTAGAGGCCCGGTACATGAATTCGAATTCTTGCACGGGTGGAATCTGGCTGGCCCGCCCTGATGGGGGCTGAATGGGCCGGCAAGGGGGAGGGGCCACGGGAGGTCGGCCGGCCAGCCCCGCCCCCAATCCGGGTAGGGAGGGGGACAATCTGGGGCAGGGCCGGCCAGGGGGAGGGGCTGTGGGAGGTTGGGGGGCGGCCAACTGGGGCCTGATTGGGCTGGTTGGTTGGCTGCTGCAGTGCACATTATAGCAACTGGTCATTCCCATCATTCCGTCATTCAGGTCACTGGGCTTTTATATATATAGATGACATCAGCAGACTTATGTATAGACAGTTTACTTTTAGTGTTTGTGATGATTTAAATAAACTCTAGGGCCCTAGCACCTGAAGCATGAACACTATCTCAAAGTATATCATTACTTCATGGAAAAATCCTATTCAACATACACTGACACACCTGTCATAGAGAAGAAGAGTACTAAGCACTGACTATCTCATATCATTTATGGTGCGTTCAGTTACCTGTACCCCAAGACTGCTCTTGAAGCCAGGATCCATGCCTTTCTTGTCTGTATTGTTAGCACTTAGCAGGGGGCTTAGGCATCACAGGGACCAATACATGCACATTCCTGATCCCAAACTGGAGACACGGTCACGTGACCATGTACCACATGCATTAGGTGACTTAATCCTCCAACAGCCCCATGTGGATGATACTGTACCCATCTTCTGAATGGAGAAACTGAGGCCTACCGAGGTGAAGTGCAGCTGGCCTGAACTTGCGAACTTGCAGTTCCAGGCCTGGTTCGTCCTGGCTCCGCGCTGGGGTTTTTCCACTGGGACATGTGGCTTTCAGGACTGCCAAACAGGTCAATCCCAGGTGCAGTCTAAAATGCAGGACGATGCCCTCAATTCTCCCTGGAGACTCCAGCCTGGCCTCAGGGAAATGCTCTTGGAAACCAGCCTCTTCTGGCACATTCCAATTTAGACACATGAGTCTCCGGGGAGAAGCAGGGAAGGACCATGGGCATGTGAGCTGGAGGATTTTTACCTTGGAGTTAAGGAGACGTCAGCCTGACCTGGTTACAGAGCTGCTCCAGGTAGCTTCGGTAATTTGAATATCATTTTCCCTCCATGTCTTCACTGTTCAAACTTTTCACATGCAAGTACACTCAGGTGCAAGAGTCCATTCGTAACAACAGCACCACCCCTGGCTCTTACTATGTGCAGGTCTGGGGTTTACTGGTCTGGGGCCATCACATACATCCATGCTAGCCTTGCAATCTCACAACTGCCATGTACATGGACAGGTATTCCTGCCCCCATTTTCCAGATGGGGAAATTGAGGCTCCAGGAAATAAGGTAACCTGCCCAAGGTCACAGAGCTGGGAAGTGGCAGAGCTGAGACCAGGATCCAATATGATTGAGGTCTGCACGCGAGACAGGGAGAGAGGACACCAGCAGCCAGAACAGAGCTTGGTGTTCCACCGCCCACCCTGGAGGCAGCAGTTCCTTAAAGACATATGGGGACAGCCTTCGTCCTTGGCACCCTGCCTCCCATCACCAGCTTGTCCATCCTCCAAACCCAGACACAGCAATCTTAGAGCACACACAGCTCTGACGACACCACCCCTCTGCGTAAGACCTCCAAATGGCTTCCCATTTCCCACTGCCGACAGCCCAAGCTCCTTCAGTCAGCACTCAAGGCCTCCTGCAGTCTGGCCTCAAGTCCACTTCCTGCTCCCTTGTCCACCACTCCTGTCCACGCCCCTGAGGGGACTCTGCATTCCTCCCCCACAGGCAGTGTTCGGGCCACACCCTGCCTTTGCCTATGCTGTGTCTCCTCCTTGGAACGCTCTTTCCTTCCTTCCACGTCTCAGTCCAACAAACTCCTGCTCAGTTTTCAATATCCAATGGTGCCTGCCCATGGATGCCTTGGTTTCCAGAACCCCATGGCCTCACTTACATGGCGCCAGGGAGAGTAGAGGAAAACCGATTTGGCCAAGGGAATCTTATTCTCATGCCTTTAGACATCATCAGAGAAGGCAATTTCCTATCTTCTGTCTAGTTCAAAGAAATACGTTTCAACAACTATTTACAGAAGCTGGAAACCCTCACTCCACCCCTCTCCCCACACTTACTGTTCTATTGGCCTAGAAGAGGATACCCCATCTTTGTGAGAACTGCTTCTCCTCACTCCAACCTGGTGTGTCTAGAGGAAGACATCCCTGACTGTGGAGGGGCATCCTTGAGTCCAGCTGGGCCAGTAGAATCTATTGCTTCTGCCACAGTGATTGGTCAAGGAATTAGCACATGACCCAGGACTAGCCAATCAGAGAACTTCCCTGGGAAACAACCCTATTTCATGTGATTCTAGGTTTAGAGGCCCAGAGCTACCTATGATACTGGCTTGGATCCAGTGAGCATGACTAGCTTGAGGGAATGAATCAACATGCATGCAGACAAAAGGCTAGAGAAAAAGTTTGTTGTTGAATTAGTTTCTGGCTCCAATCCTCCCCTGATCTTTACGCAATTGCATTATAAGAGCCAATAAGGTATTTGGTAGGTTCAAGTTCAAAGTAGGATTTGGTCACTTATAACCATTCGGTTCTAATAAACATGGTTTAAAACTCCTTCTCCAATTGTATTATGTCATTATGTGGTCCATAAATATTTATTAAGAACCAGATATGAACCGGGCACTCTGCTAAGGGATGGGGAGTTGAGAGTGAGATAAAAATATGGTCCCTGCCCACACAGAGCTCACTGTCTAGAGCTGTGCTGTCCAATGCAATAGCTGCTAGCCACATGTGGCTATTTGATTTTAAAATAATTAAAATGAAGTAAAATCAAAAATTCAGTTCTTCGGTTTCACTTTCCACATTTCAAGTACCCAACAGCCATGTATGTCTCTGGTGGCTACCGAATTGGGCAGCACAGATACAGAACGTTGCCATCCGCACAGAATATTCTATTGGACCGCGATAGAATGGTTTAGAACACGGTGCTGTTCCTAAAACCAGCAGCAACAGCCTCATCTGGGGTTTTGTTGGAAATGCATAATCTCAAGTTCCATTACCTACTGAGTCGGAATCTGCACTCAACAAGATTATTGTGGCTTTGTTGAATGAAGATTTTAAATTGGAGGGGGGGTGGGGATGAATGCTAAAACACAGTTAAACAAAAGGCTGCAAGGAAAATAGAGAATTTTATCACTCACAAGTCCCACCGGGCGTACCAGCTGACTCAAGGGGCCAAGTGGGGGGGGGGGGGGCAAGGG